TATTAGGAACTGCGAGTAGAAACTTTGGATTCTTGTAGAAACTTTCAAATTTAATGCTTATTACTTTTGATAAGAACTAACAGAAATCTTTAATCAGCAGTGTTTCACCTGCTGGATCATGAAATCAATTCAATTTTGTATCGAATGCAAATACATTTTAAATTAAATAATTTTCAAGTTCAGAATATTAAAAAACTATTAAAAAAATTTATTTAATAAGACTTGTTTATATTTTATACCCATGTATTTATAACAACTAATCTATAATTTCTATCTAATAACTATAATCTATTCATTTATTATTTTAATGAAGATAAATAATCAAATCCAACTGTTGTGCATGACGATGGATCACATAAAATTGAAAAATTAAATGAACTCAAATTATATTGGAAAAAAGGATGATTTTTTAAAATTCTTTAGATATATTAGTATTTGACGTAATTCATCTATGTATTATACTGTAAATTTATGTCTCAGATATAATAATAATTATAAATAAGTTATTGCATAAGTTCGACCTTATGCATCTTTCGATAGTGTAATAATTTATCGTGCATTCTAATACGAGTATTTAAAAATACTGACTGTATATTGCCTTTTTATATTTTACTGAATTGTATATATATATATATATATATATATATATATATATATTATCTTTTTAGCTTTTTAATCGATTGATTTATGTAATTGGTATCTCCAGTTAATTCGTTGATATCAAATTTGTATATAGTTGTGAAATATCTATCATACTTTGTTTGCTTTTCAGATATAATTTCAAAGTAAATATTTATTTTCAAATCTGAAAGTTTTATAATAGATTTAAATTTATATTTACATTAAGAGCATGAAATAGATAATTATTGTAACCACTTTCAAAAATAATTTGTACTGTATTATTTTTAAGACATCTGCTAAAAGTTTTTAATTTATTTAGATTTATTTTTAAGTTTTTAAATATTACTTTAAAAATATAAATGTGTTTTACTTAAAGGAACGTTCTTCAAATATTAGTTTTAATTAATTTATGATCAATTTTAATTTATAATTAGTTTATGATCAATAATAAAATTCGTGGTGAATTGATAATGCGAATTGATAATGGAACGGTTTTATAATGCGAATCAAACGTATTTTATAATATATATACATATTTGTAACTTATTAGCAAATTATTAAATAGACAGAATAAATTGTTTTTATATTGTATTGTATTTGTTTTTAAGAAATGTTCTTTAATGCTACAATATTTAATTAAATTTTTTAATTTTTATTTATAACTTCTTCATATAACTTCATGACAATTAAACAATAAGTAAATGAGTATTATATAACGTAATTTTTCGAATAATTAATGACCTTAAATAGAGTAGGATTGTTAAAAAATATTTAAATTATTTAAATAGCAATAACATCATTAAATATTTTTAGATTAAATAATTTATACAGTTTATATTTTAAGAAAAGTTGTTTAATTGGCATTTTTATGTGAGATAGATAAATATGTTTATTTATACTCGTAATTTTATTCAAAATATTTATTTGATAATTCTTGAATTGCATTATATCGTATCAATTAAAAGTATATTTAGGCTTACTCATAGATCCAATAAAATAATATACTTTTCCAATTGGCGTTATTTTTATTTATGGACATGACATTATGAATACAATGTTGGCAAAATTTTTTTTAATGTACGATAACAGAACTCTTAAAATGTATAAATTAATATAATTTAATAATACTCAGTTATCATTTTAGATTTTTTATTATCTGGAAATATTTCTGATTAAATACCTACAATAACATAAAAAATATAATAAAAATATATTGGTTCAAAATATTTATAAAATATATTTTTTAAAGTTTATTTTTAAAATGATCTTCTTATGCAATAATTTCAATGAAATAAATAAAGACAACATTTTAATTAATTAACAACATTTTTCTGATATTTCGAAATTAAATAATAATTATACATTAGTTGTTTTGTAAATATAATGCTTATAACTATTTGAAAACGAACGACAGATATGGATTATATATTTCAGGTTAAAAATTGTAAAGTTAGGTAACAGTACCAGGAAGCCTTTTGCTAATTCTACATTCTTTCAATATCGTATTTTTTTTGGAAGGAAAAAGTTTACTGCTCTAAAATAATTTCCGAAGAGTATGACCTTACTCTTTAAAGCGCAAATAAATTACTGTGTAGCAACAAATTATCTTATGAAATAGAGTTCGGAATAAACGGAAAAGAAATAGTGTTTTATATATAAAATTTGGATAAAAATTTTGGTATTAAATGTGTAATGTAACCTATAATGTAGATTAATTATATAATTTCAAAGAGTCGGTCTATTTAGTATTCTATAGTATTTAGCTTCTTTTTAGTAACATTACATATCAATATTCTTCACTACTGGTAAATGTGCTCCTTTTTAGAATACAACTATAAAATAATTAGGTACACAATTTTCATAATAAAATTATTAAAGTTATACTATCAATGTAGTTTTTATATTAACTTTATTTGATACATGTGTTTTTAATTTTTAAACATATTTATATGTATAAACGAATCCACAATATAAAATTTTTTAGTTAAAATAGATGTTTTTACTTTTTATAGAATCATCTCCGAGTTTAAAAAATTATCTAAAGTATGTTAAAATATTCTACATTTTACATATAAATTATAGAGTATATTAAATCAGTAAGAAATTAAGTGAATATATATATATATATATATAATGTTTAGAATAACTCTGAGACCACGAGATGTAATGTGGTTGAAGTGTGCGGGCAAGTGGAACGGATAGCGTATTAAATTCAATATTAACACATCTGTTTGTTATGCTGTTTATTCCGTTAATTTCTAGATACAGAAATGATTCTTGTTGCTCATATCAATCGATGAACTCTTGGTTCTGGCAGATCACACTTGGCTTTAGCATGCGCCTTAACCAGATGCAGGAAGTTGTAAATTTCCTGATCCTCTTGCCGTAGGGCACTGGTGCTATCTCTGGCAAGTGAGAGGTTGTAAAGCTCTTACCACTTCTTCGAGTAGAGCCGCGTGATGTCTCTGCGATTGCTTCATGCGCTGGTGTCACGTGCGGTTTCGATATTTTTGCGAGATGAGCACTGAATGTCGCGAAGATTGGCTTGCCGATGCGTGCTTCGTGCGTATGTGACATATACTTGGTTACAGGCTAGGATCGGCAAGGTGGGGGCAAATGGCGCGAAGATAAGCCTCGTCAGCGTAGGACCTATAGTGAATAAATAGCAAATTTTTGGAATTCCAGCAACCAGGATGGTCAGAAGACCAAGGTGGATGGATTATACTGTACCTCCGGTTTAATGGTGGAGAGGGGGGATGAGTGAAAGGTTAATGTTTAAATTCATTATAAACACAATTGGTTTAGTGATTTTTATTTAAGGTTATGTTAGATTGGTAGTTGTTATTACTAGTCGTTGTGAGAATTGTTGAGCTCGTCGTGATTTTAACAGTTGGCAGTAACTGTAGGACGTCGTCCGGGTGTGCAAGGCAAGACTGGTCTGTTTATACTATTAGCGATATTAATTGTGGGGAACATCGAATAGTATCGACGCCTCCTTTCGCGGTCTGATAATAATCAAGTTGCAGAGGCTTAACCGATAATGCCGGCGCAATGCCGTAAGTATCATCGAATAGAATCGGGACCCTTCTCCGCGTTCTGATAATAATCAAGTTGCAGAGGTCTGAGAAATAATGTCGGCGCTGTGCCGCAGTAATGATAGTGTAGCGGGGGCTACAAAACAATATAGGTCAGTATAGAACCGTAGTGAATAATTCATCCTTGATTAACTTTTTTGAATTTTATTAAATTAATTATTATTAATTTTACACAAATAATGTTCACAAGGAAACTATAAAAATTTTAAAATATGCTTGTTTTCGGTGACAAAATAGTATAAAAAAAACTAATACTCATTCCCAATGAAAATATTAAAATTTTTATTTTATTCATAAATGAACTGAATTCTCTCTTAACACAAAGTATTTAATTATCATTGTTACTATCATCAAATTGAATAACCACGCCATTTTTGTTATTTAATGTTTAGCTTTATATAAATCTAACTTCACTTTTGAGTAATTTTATTGCTATCGACCGCATCGTTATTATTGTCATAAGCCTTATATATATTTTTTCTAAGAATTGAAGTTATTCGTATCATTAAATAGGATAACTCGAATCATCGTGTAATTAAACGACGCTCAGTCTAATCATTCGATGCACTGCACTATCATCGTCATAAAAGTTGTACAAGAAAAAGAACTAATTTTTTGTTAATTTTTATTTATTAAATTACTGTTCTTTGTCATTAATTTGTCATGTTTTATATTGTACCAATAAATCAATATTTGTTTTTTTTTATAAATGAAAGACTGAAATTCGACATTATAAGACTCTAGATTCTTGTAAGTTAATATTAATTAGCAAAATTTATAAATACGAATATTATTTTAAGTATATTATTAAGTATATTATTTTAACTTGTTAGTATACTGTTCTTTATTTAATTTTTAAAATAACATTCATGAATATAACTATATATAAATTCATAATGTTTAAACACTGTATTTGTTTCGCATAATTGAATTATTAAAGCCGCAATAAAAATTTTGTTATTTAAGTTATAAGCATAACAATAATGATTAATACATTTATTATATTGAATAATGTATTTTATAGTAAGTAAAATTAATTATTTTAATTATTTATACGTGTGTATATTTTATATTTTTGCCTTTTTGCTCTTATATATCTCTAAGAGGGACCGAGACTTAATACGAAAAGGAAACGCTTATTATTTGAATAGAAAAGAGTTTATGATGTGATTTCTTTTCTGAGTTATATTAGAGAATTATGACATATACCAAAAATCTATCATTTTTATATCAGTGTATATTATGTTGCATTTTAATGTTATAGAGAAAAAAATGGTGCTGCGAAGAATCGGAAAATTTATACGAGAAAGTAGTGGATGACGAGCAGACTGAATCATAATATTTAACATGGAAGAGGTCGGTACAATGCGATCTGACGTGAGTACTCAATGCCTTTTTATCGGGAGAGCATCGGTTCTTTCTTGAGGCAAACCAATTGAGATCAAAATGTAACATGTATTACTTATATTTATGACGAATATCTCTATCACGTACCCGTTTTCATTAAAATAAATATTGTTTGCTAAAAAATTTTCGATTTCGTGAAAACAAATTTTAATGTCTATTTAATCATCATCGAAATATACAATAATGGAGTTCCTTTGCTGACATTTTTATTATATAGTTGAGGATGACTTTTATGAATTCTTATAACATTTCCAATGACTATGAGCACTGTCACTATTCTCTTTATGATTAAATTGCTTTTTTAATTTTCAGTTTTAGTATTGTCTAAGTTTCTTCGTGGTAGATTAGCACGGCATTCTTCGAGCATTTTGTAAATATTTAACTCTGTGTGTCTTTCTTCAAACCTTGATGGAGACTTGTCTCATTTCTTATAAAATAAGTTTGCTATATTATCGTTTGTAGTCTCATAATGTTTGGATTTCTCACTGTCTTTATTTACATAGAATTCGATTGATATCTAAAGTGGGAATCCTTCTAATATTTTAATATTTTCGCGGTATGTTATTTTTGAATTTTCATATAGCAGTGAAGAGTAAAAAATTGTAAATGTTTGATAGGTTTCACTCGTTGATACATAATGTATGGGTTTACATAGCTTATTTTTACAAAGTTCAGGTGGTTGAATAGCTCATTGATGAGCTGGATTAGTTTTTTTACAAATATACTATTTTCATATACATCATATAAATGAAATAGATAAATAATATAATGTGACAATGGAGGAAGAGAGAGGCTTTTTAGTTCATGTTATACTATTTGCGATCTTATGTGAAAATAATCGATAAGCTGAAAAATAATATTTGTTTATGTTTTCTCATTATTGTAACTATATGTTTTCGTATTATTGTCTATTGTATTTAAGCGAGTCATGATATTTGCAAATACATTATTATTATATCATCACTGAATCTGTCAGTATGTTTTTTATGGATTCAGGTAAGCTATTGTTAAAAATTTTGTAAGACAATAATGTAAGTGTATTAAATAAAAGAAATACTTCAAATATTTGTTACAAAACTCGTTGAAACTACATTTATTTAATGTAGATTATTCATTTGAATAAATATATGTGAACTTATAGTAATAATTTCAAATATGAAGTAAGTTTATAATGGTTGTAAGAAGTAGTTAAGTAGGAAAATCTTTTTTTTTAATAAAAAATCGATGGAAGTCAGGTTCACAACTTTTGATTAATAATTTAAACTTGGAGTATTTTGAGGGTTATTTTGAGAGTTGAACAGGAAAAAAATTTATATTCACAAAAACTTGTGAAACATTATGAATTAACTGATAGTATTTGATCTATTCAAATAATATGAATAATATCCGGTATTGGTTATCTGAATAAATATTTTGGTTTCGCTTTAAATCTTGGTATTATTCACTCACTCTCTTCAAATCCTTTTTTTCACTTTTTGTTTTAAAGCATCGCTTTGTTTATGATAGTAGCAGTTACAAAGTATTGACGCGATAATGCTATATACCACAAAAAAAACTTGTTTGTAGTTAATTAATACATGTTATTCCAATAATTTTTAGATTAACACCGAAATGAGCAAAATTAAGGTCACATTTGAACACATTTTTTATGTTCATACAAAATAATTGTATATAATAATAATTGGATATAATAATTGTAATTGTTATAAAATGTATTATTATTACTTTGAAATTCAGTTTTAAGCTTCTAACATGTACAATTTATTATCCTAAATTGATAATTTCCTAGGATGTAATCAAAGTGGTGTTAAAAGGGAAATAGATAATTTTCTAATCAGTATACTTCCGATTACAGTAAATTATTGAAATCTACAATTGATGTGCATTGATCTACAACTGAATGTTAAAGTTTGTTTTTTATTTGTATTATATTTGTATTATATTTTATAGAATTTAACATTATACATTTATCTTAAACCTTAGTATAAATTAACACGTAATAAATAGTAGTGAAAAAATTAAATAAAATTCGATTAGTTTACCCAAGTAAATTTTTTAGCAAAATATTAGTTATTAGTTTACCAAACAAATTATCAAGCAAAACATTAACATTTATCTTGTTCTATGCGCACGTAATTTTTCTTGCAATATAAAATATAAAAAAGGTGAAAAATATTTGCAAAATTTAACGTAATATATAAAAATTATTGCTACAATTTTTGTATTAAATACGTATAAAAGTAAACGTATGTGAGCATGTAGTGACAATTGTTACCTCCACTGATACAAGTGGCAAAGAATGAGCAGTGTGACGAATAAAAACAGTAACATGAATAATGCATACGCAACATGAAAATAAATGAAAGATAATTCAATAAAGTGGCAGATATGGCGGATACAATCAATTGTTCATTTAATTAATTTATTGCATAGACTTACATGAGGAGATTGGGCATACAAACTAAATACTCTCATTTATATACAATAAGTGTTATTTAAAATCTCCGTTTACTAATAAATGAAACTACAGTGATATATTTTTTAAATTTGCTATAGATAAAACAAGAGAGCTCTTTAAAATATATTGAGAGAGGAAGGATTTATGTGGTTAATAATGTGTAAGATATGTATATGAATGTGATATTCTCAATGTTAGATGCTTTAATTATATAATGTAAATTATAAACGTACAATTATTTATATTTGTATCTAAATACTTTTTTATAAATATATTTCTAAATAAATATAACAAATTTAAATTATTGCAAAAATTTTTTCCACGTATTATTAAAGTACTGTACCGCAAAGCTTAAATTTAGAATAAATAGTTTCTTATTTTCTGATCTAAATTTATAGTATGGTTAATATTCATTTTATATCTTATTAATAATAATACATACATAAAAAATTTTAATAATTTATTAGCAATGTTCTCTAAATATATTAATGATTTTATACCAGATTAGTTTTAACAAGAATAAAAATATAACACTATTCAGGTAATTATATATTATATATAAATATACAATTTGTGTTTTGTAACGATTTAAAGAATTTGAATACCACATTATTTTAGAAATTTCATTAAATAAGTAAAGAGTAGTGAAATAGTATAGTACAAATTTATGCATATGAAATATAAAATATAAAATATAAGAAGAAATATTATTAAAAATACTATTTTACTATTTCACGGTGTTATGTTATAATTGATTAAGCATATAAAAAATATTATTTATTAGATTTATTAAAAAATATTATTCAATGATTTGCCACTATTTTTAAATAATATATATTTAGACTACATTAAAATGGTAGCAAAATTACTTTTAAAATCTCAAATTAAGCAAAGAGTAATCACGATAATTTTATAATACCATAAATTATTAGCTTCTAATGACTACGTAATAAATATATATTATGATATTATATTTATAACTATTAACATTATATTATATTTGTTTATTATTGTTTTATTAATTTTTATAAGAAGTTAAATATTATATATTTAATTATAGCATGCTTATAATTCAAGTTAAAAAATAGGTAATTAATTAGAGATCTAAATTATATATTTTGATTTGTAAGATAAATCATAATATTTTGATGATTATAAAAATAAAAAAAAGAATTAAAGTGTATACAATATTAAAAAATTGCAAAAATCTCCGAGTTACCTAATTAACGTAAAATATAAAAAATAAAAAATTATTAAAATATAAAAAAATAAATAATATTAAGTTGATTTAAATATATCAAATGCAAAATATTTTTATATGTTCTTAGATTATGTTCATCTATATAAATATATTATATAACATTGGAATAAATATTTTCTAAAACTGAGATTTGTAATCGATTTGATTGGTTGTTGCATTTAAATTCAATATTGAATAAATAATTAGTCAAGTTTATAGTAGATATTGTATAATTATAAAAATCAGCATAATTCTATATCTATATTGCATCTATATTGCAATAGCTTTGGTTTTTCGTAGGTATTTTTTTTTAACTTAAAATTGAATTTTGCTATACAGATATTTATTCAATATATTCCCATTTAATTCTCGCTGTTTTATCATTAAATCTTCCAGTAGTAGTTTGTCAACTGGATTCATAATGTAATTTCTCGGTAGTATCGTCGGTACTTTTACACATTATCATTAAGCATGCATATAGGATGCAAATGTTAAGGACAAATAAAATTATAAGTAAATTATTTATTAAAAATAAATATCTATAATATTAAGATAATATACAATAATTTTATTTCCCAAGATTATAAAGAGATTAAAATTGTATTAAAATTATATAGAGATGTAAAAAGAAATCATATGAAATCAATATCAAGTCAAAAAATAAAGTTTAAAATGTTATTTGCCTTGAAGAGAGACAGAGAGAGAGAGAGAGAGAGAGAGAGAGAGAGAGAGAGAATGTATTAACACAAAAACAGGTATTTGATTTATTAATAAGATTTAATAATAGGTAATCATTGAATAAGTTAAGATGTGAAATGCGAAGGAGAAGAAATTAAATAGAAAATTTTTAGTATATTGTCTGAAGGGAGCTATTTTTTAATAAATTTTTTATTTTACATAATGTTTATTAGCTATATCATTTAGTTTGTACCATATTACTAGATTTCTCTTAATATAAACACCCATTAAATAAGTAGGAGATTTTTTATTAAAAAGGAATATCTTCAACTTTTGGTATGCGAATAATTAATACAATACGGAACATATAATTCATACTGCTATATGATCATGAATCCAACATACAAACAAATATAACAATATATTAATTCATTGACTCAATTAAAAAAAAATTAAGTGTAATAAAATAATTTAAAATGTAAGTATCTTTTAAAGATAGAATTTATTTTATCTAAAAACTTTTATACATAGAAACTTATTTAATTAATAATATTTGTAAATTTATTTTCATTTAATCTTCAATTGATAGATATG